GGTAAATGATGTAAAAACACTCATGCCAAGAATCTGAAAGTTCATATCAACAATAATTTTCTCATACTCTTTTGTACATTTGACCATTGTAAAGACTGTCAAATTCTTCTCTTAATATTTGTGGTGTCACAGTTGTACTAAAACAGTCTTGAATTCTGGCAGTGAAATGAAGTTCTTACATGTCTTCAATATTAATAAAAATAAAGGAAATATAAATCTGCACTTATTCAGATGGTTAAAATTAGTTTCTGTGGGTCATTTCATAGAGTTCAAGCATTTAATTTTTTTTGAGCTGAGTTGAATTAGCTTGTCTGTAATTTAGGAGAAGTTTCATTCTAAGACATAAAAGAATCTACAGGGGAATGGAGGCCAAACTACAATAACAACCGAAAACAAACACATGAAAAACTTTAAGATTTTTTTTTTTTTGAGACAGAGTCTCACTACGTCACCCTCAGTAGAGTGCTGTGGCGTCACAATTCACAACAACCTCAAACTCTTGGGTTTAAGCAATTCTCTTGCCTCAGCCTTCCATGTAGCTGGGATCACAGGTGCCCGCCACAACATCCGGTTATTTTTTTGTTGTTGTTCTTGTAGTTGTCATTGTTGTCTTAGCTAGTCCAGGCTGGGTTCGTGAGTTCCAACCCTCCAACCTCGGTGTATGTGGCCAGCAACCTAACCACTGACCTCGGGCGCCACCCTAAGACATTCTTAACATATTAATTTCTTAATATATTAATCTTTTCAAAATATATTTTGGGTCAATGGGTAGATAATAAAATTGAGAGTCATAGACTATTTGGTTCCTAAATTTTGCTCCATCGTGGCTCGCTTATTCAAAATAGTTTGTTGACTGAGTATAAGGTAAGCATTGTGAAGAGCATTTTTATGAAGTCCGTTGAATGAGACAAGCTCTTGGGCTCAAAAAGGGATAAAAGTTACTAAAGTGCTGTGGTTAAGGATGCACAGTGAGAAAAATAGTGACCAACTGTGAGCCAAACCAATCAACATTGAAACTGATTTCTAGCAAATATAGTCCAGTGGAATAGACTAAACCGATAATTAAACTCAAGGCATTTGCTTCTAACACACATGAATTGAGTTGAAATGCCAGCTTTCACAGTGATCTTAAAATCATTTAAGGACAATGATCAGTGGAGGGGGTCTTTAAAAACTTTAAAGTATTAATAATTCTGTGCTAATTTAATTGATAAATCAGCCACTTTGTGTTTACCCTTTCATGTCTCTCCTGTTTAATTCTCTCATTCTCTCCTCAAACTGTTCACTTCTTTTGGATCCATTGTGGAAACACATACCTTTTAGGGAGTTGAGGAAGGAAAGATGTTGTGAAAAACAGGATTAATTTAGAAGAGTGGTTCTCAGACATTGGCAACATCATGTAGACAGTTTGTTAAAACACAGATTCTTCAGAGTTTCTAGTTTATACTTCTCGGTGAGGCCTGAGAATTTACATTTCTCACCACCTGTGGGGAATGCTAATGCTGCCTGCCAGGTACCGCCCTTTGGGAGCCATTGTGTAGAAGGTGCACTTTGATGTAGAGGAGCTCATAAAGTTTGTTAAGCTGTTCCTGGAGCCATAGCAGCCACTTTGATTTGGCAGTTAAAACCAGAAGAGTTATGGAGAGAGCCTCTCTATGCGCTTAAGATCCCTATACAGAAAATAGGAAATAGGAGGAACTGTTTAAGAATCTATTTTTTTCTGGCAGTGGTAATACTGAGTAGTCTAGATAAATAGGAGGCAAATGGAATACCAATTTATAAAAGAAAAAAAGGAGATTCTCCCATTAGAGAGGGGATTTAACATTAATCACAGGGAAGATTCTGTTATAGAAAGGGATATGATAATGGAGAACCAAATGTAAAACAAGAACAAAACATATCAGTTTTGTTTCTTTTATTGAATGAATTGATAGCCTTACTGAGAACGTGAGAAGGCAGTCTGTAATCAAGCCTTGCGTGATTGTTACAGTCTCCTCCCTGTCCTCTCTTTTTCTGAGATGCTCACCTCCCACTGTGTGCTTACTTACCCACGTCCACCCAGACACCCTTTCCTACTTTACTTATAGTTCCTTAAACAAATCATGCTCTTATGAGCCTGTGTGCTTTTTCATATACTATTCTGTCTACATTAAGTGCCTTCCCTCACTTCTGTCCTCTTTCTACTTAACATTTAAGATTACTTCATGATTCTATCTGTAGACATCAAGTACCCTAGGATATTATTCCATAGCATTCTGTATTAACTCCTATTATGCTACCAGTTACTCTGCTATCTTTTATCCTTATCACTGTTTCCTCCTAGCCCCCACACCTGTACCACTTAACATCTTCCATAGGTTCTTGGAAACAAGGACTTTAAGTGAAATGATGTATAATGAAATAGATTTTACTGGCTTAGCTCCTATAGCACAGTGGTTACGGCACCAGCCACATAGACAGAAGCTGGCGGGAGGCTGGCAGGTTTGAACCCAGCCCAGGCCAGCTAAAGAACAATGACAACTGCAACAAAAACTAGCTGGGTGTTGTGGTGGTCACCTGTAGTCCCAGCTACTTGGGAGGCGGAGGCAAGAGAATCACTTGAGCCCAAGAGTTTGAGGTTGCTGTGAGCTGTGATGCCACAGTACTCTACTAAGGGTGACATAGTGAGACTTTATCTCAAAAAAAAAAAATAGATTTTACTATAGGCTAATTGATACAAACAAAAGTTATTCCTACAGCATATTTCTTATCACAAAAACATCGCCAAACTTCTAAATAAACAGCCAAATGCTTCTAACATTCAACATCGACATAAATGTGAGCTATATATACATTTAAGAAAGATTAATAAAAAACAAAATAATTATTTACCCAATTTTTGGTGACTTAGTAATGGCAGTCAATGATGGTGGATTATTAAAATCAAGGAAAAAGTGTTTGCAAAGCAAAAATTGTTAGAAGCACCTCCTCCCATCGCACAGTTTAAAAACAATCAAAATATGGTGGGCTTGCTGAATGCACATTGTTTATTGTTATACATTTGTATGATTTTCTTTTTTCTTCTTTTTTTTTTGATCAACCAGGTATAATTACTAAATACTATATGAAGTTTTATTTTATAATCACTTATATATTTATTCATTCATTGTCCAACCCCCCTTTTCTAGTTTGGGGTTGTGAGTGGTGGGAACCCATCCCAGCAGCTCAGTGTACAGGGCAAGGACCAACTCTGACTAGGATACCACCCCATTGCAGGGCGCACATACGCTAATCCCTACACTTACTCATACTGGGATCGTTTAGACATGCCAGTTCAAATGAGCACATATTTAGGATGTGGGAGGAAAGTGGAGTATCTGGAGGAGATCCATGCAATTGGCCAGAAACTTATTTTTTTTCCATTGCTTGTATACACAAAATGACATTGAACAAAACAATGTTAGTTAAGGAACTGCTGCTGTAATCTGATTTTTTTTCTCTCATCTTTGAGAGAGATAAAAATATGGTTAGCACCATTGGCACCAAGTATGGCTCTTGCAATCTGATATATATTTAGTACATGAATAAATGAATGAATGACTTATTCTGGTCAACATAATACAGTGATAGAGTTCCAATCGTGAATCTAAATTCTGACTTTATTAGCTATTTAGAGCATAGCTTTGAGTAAACTGTTTAAACTCTCAACTTTCTTTGAGCCTTCATTTCATAGTATGTGCTTAAAAGTAATGTGTACTATTATAATGTACATGCCACTTATATGTATACATTGTATATGTGTATATAGTTGTTTTCCCCAAATGCTTATGCTTGTCAAGAGAAAATACATTGATGAATGAAGTTATTAGAGTGAGTGGAGAGAGAGAAGTAAGTAGAAATTTTTATACGTAAATAAAAATAGAAGCATTTTATTCTTGGCACCCATAGCTCAGTGGTTAGGGGGCCAGCCACATGCACTGGTGCTGGTGGGTTCAAACCCAACCAGGGCCTGCTAAACAACACTGACAACAACAACAGAAAAATAGCTGGGTGTTGTGGCAGGTGCCTGTAGTCCCAGCTACTTGGGAGGCTGAGGCAAGAGAGTTTGAGGTTGCTGTGAGCTGTGATGCCATAGCACTCTACCGAGGGCAACTTAATAAGATTCTGTCTCAAAAAAAAAAAAAAAAGAAGTATTTTAAAAATAAGTTTTTGTTAGCACTATCCAATTGCCTACCTTTTAGAATTGTGAAAGGCTACTAATGAATTTGGTTTGGGGGAAATAATAATTTCTGTTTCATTTGAAGTATTCCCTCATTGAAAACAGTTTGCAGCTTCCAGGACTTTTTATTTCAGTTGTTATCTGAGTTTAAAATCTGTTTTTATGTAGTATTTATTTCCGTTTTATATACATGTGTAATTATAGGTATTTTAAAGCATATAGAACATTGCTTTTGCTTAAGCATTTTTAAATAAGGTGCTTTTATACTTACAAAAAATTATTTTAGAAATTGTTTTTGAGGGCTGGGTGCAGTAGCTCATGCCTGTAATCCTTGTACTCTGGAAGATTGAGGTGGAGGGATCCCTTGAGGTCAAGAGATCAGCATGCAAGAGTGAGCCCCTGAGACCCTGTGACCCTGTCTCTACTAAAAACAATAGGAAAAAAATAAACCAGGTGTGTGGAAGGCACCTGTCTCAGCTACTCAGGAGGCTGAGGCAGGAGGATTGGGTGAATTTAAGATTGCTGTACATTAGGTTGATGCCCTGGAACTCTAGCCTGGGACAGAGTGAGAGTCTCTCAAAAAAAAAATAAATAAATAAAAGACTTTTGATATGTATAGGATGCCAGGCTAAAGATTTGCACACATCAGTACATTGTTTTGACTTGCTTCTGTGCTAAGCATTTTTTAACATATGCATGGACCTACAAAGGATTGGGTTTGTTTCAGAGCTACATATAGCAGGTGTATGTGTGACATATGGCATTTATATTTCAACTATTGCTTCATGTTTTTTGTTTTCAGCATGCTGGACCAGGATTCCAGGAGAATGAAACCTAGTATGAGCCCTGCTAATCAAAGGAGGCACCTTCTAGAATTTTCTGCAAAAGAGGAGCAAGACACACCAGATGGTATCATCCAGAAAAATAGCTACAGGTTAGATGGCATGTACCTGTTGGTCTGAGTGATTTATTGGAACCAAAACAGAGAACTGTCTAGTATAACTTTACATCTAACTAGTTCATATACAGTTTTGACTAGTAGAGCAGATAAATTACTGAGGTCATTAATAAATTTTAAGATTAGCTCTAAGAATACATTTACTTTGAAACCTTTCTTGGTTTGGAATTTTTGTAGAGATGTGACAAAAATCTCAGTTAAGATTTTATATTATGGGCTGGCATGGTGGCTCACACCTGTAATCTTAACACTCTGGGAAGCTGAGGCAGGTGGATTGACTGAGCTGAGGAGTTGGAGACCAGCCTGAACTAGAGTGAGACCCTGTCTCTAAAAAAAATAGTTGGGCACTGTGGCAGGCGCCTATAGTTCCAGGTACTTGGGAGGCTGAGGCAGGAGCCCAAAAGTTTGAGGTTGCTGTTAGCTAAAGACACCATGGCACTCTGCCAAGGGTGACCAAGTGAGACTTTGTCTCAAAAAAAAAAAAAAAAAAAAAAGATTTTATATTGTATAACATGTATAACGTCTTCAGTACATACATATTGAAACACATACAATATATATACACATTTTATTGTCTATAGTGTTTTCAGTACAGTTATTTTATTTATCATGTAATTATAAGGTCATGTGTTTATACCTATTATTTGTTACTATGTCATCTGAGGGAGAATGATATGGTAGAATGATATGGTTGAACCTATTTGTAGTCATTGGGTAAAATCATTTATACTTATTTATTATGATCTTTATGGAATTTCTCCCTTGTTATAATTTAATACTGAGTTGGAAAATTTCCATATTGGTTGTCAATAGCAAAAGGCTTTTTGTATGAAAATGTATACATATATCTATACATTATACACAGATGTATACTTTTTGATAAACATTTCTCTTTGTTATTTGAGCCAAATAGAGCACGATCCTCGACTAATAAAGCAAAGGGAAGTCACAGTATGGTAACCATTGCACAGTATAATGCCTGAAAATCATTAAAGATTTCTTTACTCTTAACTCTGTAAGGTTTTCTAGGCTGAGACCATGTGGGAATCATTCTTCCTGATCTTTATTCTGTAGCATCCATACTATTGAATGAGATTATTACTATAAACCTAGAGGCTTATCTCCATTTTTAAAAAAAGTTAGTATTCATTTTTTTTTCCCCTAGGAATTTGCTTCATGCAGAGTACTATGTTAGGTATAAAACAAGATACAAAGAATCATATAGCAGTAGCTATAATGCATCATCTCAGTGATGTCATAATGTTGAAAATGTTATATAATGTTTCTTGCTTTTTTACGTGCCAAAATTAGCCATACTTCTGAAATATTCATCTTGGTGATCATTTATAGTGTCCCTAAATATTGATAGAGTTTAATAAGATCTCTAATTTTGCTAAATAATTTGTCCAGGCTTATCATACATTTTCTATCATTTTGAGTTCTGTGGTAATTCACTTGAGATCCATCAAAAATACATTTTTAAACTGACTGCAGCTTTTCTTTTCTATCTTTAATTCAAGCATGCAGCCTTTATATATTTCATGAAATGGATTGACCACATCAGCCCTTCACGCAATTTATCTAACCTTAACTCATGCAACACCTAATAATTAAGAAATAAATATCTTATTTTTATGAGAAAAGTACATTTTTAAATGTAATAGTCTTTGGATTTATGAGAGTTAAGATAGCTTGTTGCTAAAAATAGATCAAGTTATTGATTGGATACTTGAAACTGTGGTTCAGGTAACCTTTACAAGAGGATTATCTAATTCGCACTGACTATAATAAATAGAAACCTTCACTTATTTGTCTACAAGGTCATAAGATGACATGGTGGTGGCTTCCAGGAAGCATAGTTGTCTTATCACACTAGTTCATCCTAGAAGTCTGACTTGCAGGTTGAAGTTTAACAGCTGTCAAAGGCATTCCATGAATGTGAGCTAGCTCTGTGTCCCCTACCCAGCCAGAGTCATCATTGACTGAGCCTAATCTGGGTTACTGGTCTTGATTAAAAAAAACAACAGCAAAAGATTACGAGTTCTTGACTCTGTGCAAGTCTCTTGAAATATCTAAGATTATTATTGAGCAAGTTGGGAAGATTCAAATAAACATCAGTGTACTAATTTGATGTTTTTTGCTTTTATCAGCACAAATACTGATTAGAAGACAACAAGAATGTTTGTGAAACATTGGAAAGCACCAAATATGAATTTGTTCTGAAGTGAATTTTATTTTTTTATTTTATTTTGTTTTCTGTATTTTTTTTTTCAAATTAATATGGGGGCACAATTTTTAGGTTACATTTTTCTCACTTCCAGGGTAAAGTTCTATTTGTAGAAGAGCCCCTCACGCAGGGGGCGCGTTATGCAAATTAGGTGAGATCCCGCCTCATGCCCTCCCTTCCTGCTGCCATGCGGCCTCTCCCCTCCCACTTCCCTCTACCCCCAAACTGGACTTTATTAGTCTTTTAGTATTCTTATGAGCATGTAATTTGAACTGAATTTTAGGTGATTTATTTATACTCAGCCATGATATGTATCAATATATTATTTTTTAATGCATCTTATTTTATGTTTCATTTTATAAGGAGAGCTATGAGACCTGGTTCAAATAAAAAAGGGAGTAGATTATAATCCTATAGTTTATTATATTGTATTAACCTATCATTTAATAATTATCGGCATATATTTTTCCATCTTAGCAATGTGTGGTATATAAAAAATATATCCATATAATTTGTCAATCAAACTGGGACACTTTTAATAAGGAAAAGGTAGTATTAGTAATAATAACATCAGGCATCAGTCAGGACTGCCTTGGATAAACCAGAAAGGATGGTCACTCTCCATGTAAGGCATTAGCTGAAACCTGCCTTTATTCCAAGAATTCTCATTAACTCTAGTTCCTTAGCACTCTTTAGTGATTTATTTGCTGAAATTTTTTCTGTTAGTATAAAATGGTTGACAAGCAGCCTGGAACTTTGTCTCTGGGTTAATGTGGGTCTAATTGTCTCCAGATTGCACATTGGCTAGTCTCCCTTTCCTTTCTCCTTTCGCTCCACCCAATCCCTGTCCTGGTATTTCTTCTATCAGACTTTTTTTTCCCTTCTCCAAAGAATAATTTTGGCTGATAGAACAAAGCCAGTCAGCACAGATGTGCAGAAATCATTACTAGAGTTTAGATCAGAAATATATTTTCAAAAGAAGTTTTGGACTTTTCTGATGGACCACAATGTTTGTGTTTTTGTACGATTTTTAAAATAATGTATTTGCAACAGATCTTTTTTTTTAGTGTGTCAGGCAGTCTCATAAAGCCATTTGTAAGTGTATACATTTACTAAACACAAGACAGATTTGTTTTTCTTCAACACTTAATTTTTGTGTGTGCATTTGTTACCTGCATACCAACATCTCTGTTTTATTACAAACAACTTAACCCCACTTAACCCCAACAGCTAGAAGAATGTTCCTGTTGCAAATTGCAGAGAAAAATGTCCTACATATCCTCAACTGCTTTTTTTTTTCTCCTTATGTATGGCATAAATAGACATTAGTTTTCTACTCTGCCACAATTGTTTTTATTAAGGGTGCCAGTGATTTTAATGTTACCATATTCAGTGGAAACTTCTGTTATCTTACTTGACCTTTTCTCAGCATTTGGCTGTGTGGATTATTTGTCCCCTGAAAGACTTTATTTTGTGTGGGTACATTTTTTAATTTCCTTCGTTTATCCTGGCTGCTGTTTTCTAGTCCTCTTGTGGGCTCCCCTGCTATCTAAAGCTCAAGGTTTAGCACTGTGAACTCTTTCTGCCTGAGTGACACATCGTAATTTAGCACAGTCTATATCTCTATATCCTGATGACTTTCAAGTTTATGTTTTCAGTTCAGACTTCTCTTCTGAGTCTCCAGCCTCACATACCCAATAGTTTCCTTGGCATCTCTATTTTAACATTTCAAACTTAACTTCTCCACAGTGAAACTCTGTTTCTCTTTCTCTTTGGCTTCCAACAGGTTTTCTGCAAGTCTTTTTTGTTTCTATTACTTAAGCCAGAAACCGTGATTCCTCTTTTTCAACAAGTGTTTATATTCTTTCCAAAAGTTATCTTGAATTGGCCCACTTTTCTCCTTCTCCACTGCCAGATGAGAGTCTGTGCTATCATCAGTTCTTGCCTGGATTGCTATAGCTCATTCCCAACTGGTGTCTCAGCTTCCCCTCTTGCCTCCATTGCATCCATTTTTGGTACCACGGTAAGGTACACATGTAAATTGAAATACATCACTGATTCACTTAAAACGCTTTTGTGCTTTCTCATTACATTTAGCAATTCCTTATCATGATCTGGTCTGCTTTTCTAACCTCATCTTGTGTCCTCCCCCACTGCTACCCGACTTGTGCTCAACTCTTCAGCCAGTGGTCTTTTTTAAGTTTCTTTACTTTTCCCCACCTGCGTCTACTTAGAACTCTCTTAACCTATTTTCTATAGGACCATATTCTTTTAATCTTTAAGCCTTGATTTAAATACCTTCTCCTTCTTGGACCATCTTATCTAAAATAGATATTGCCATTGCTTTTCTGTTTCAACCATTTGTTTGTTTCCTTCATAGTACTCAACAAAGTTTGGATTTATCTTATGGGTTTGGTCCATCTTCCCTGGTAAGGTCTTTGAAGGTAGAGACTTTCACTTGTTCGCTGTTGGATTCCCAGAACCTACTATAGTACCTTGCACATAGTTGGTATTCAGTAAATACTTACTGAATGAATAAATGAAAACTATGAATCATAACCTGTTAAATTCATATGTTTACATGTTTTCTTTTTGGATTTTAGCATATCTAGTTTTCTTTCTTTCTTTCTTTCTTTTTTTTTTTTTTTTAGCTCACAGCAACCTCTAGCTCTTGGGCTTAGGCGATTCTCTTGCCTCATCCTCCTGAGTAGCTGGTACTACAGGCACCTGCCACAATGCTGTTTTCTTTGTTTTTGCAGTTTGGCCGGAGTCAGGTTCGAACCTGCCACCCTCAGTATATGGGGCCAGTGGCCTGTTCACTGAGTCACAGGTGCCGCCTGCATATCTAGTTTTCTAAAACTGGAGCATCCTATATAAAGAAACTCAGGGCAGATACAAGATTTCTTAGAACAGTGGTTCGCAACCTTCCTAATGCCGCGGCCTTTTAATACAATTCCTGTGGGTCTTGACCCATAGGTTGAGAGACCCATAGGTTGACCGCTGTCTTAGAAATATTAAAGTGGCAGACTGAAGAGCATAAATAGCAATAATGTCCCTAGTTCAGATTCTAATTTTTAACTCATATTACACATTTGATATGAATTCACATGATAAAGATTAGGAAAGTATATTTTTTAAGCTAATAGAATAACTGGTTGCCATCACCCTGGTGTTAGTGATTCAGATTCCTCTGAGATCCCAAAATTTAAATACAGCTTTCCAACTCTTTCACTTTACTCCCACCAAGTATTTTATTTTGTTTTGTTTTATTTTATTTTTATTTTTAAATTTCTGATTAATATGAAGGTATGTACAATTATGTTACATAGTTTGCATTTGTAACTGTGTCCTTCACTTGGGAAGTGTGTCTTACACCCACACATTGTTCTTGCTGGGTAGGAGCCCACTGACACGCCTCTTCCTCTTCCCCTTTCTTGTATTTAATTGAGTTTTTATTTCATATGAGCACATTGTTGGTAATCTACATGTTTCAAATTCGTATTGAGTACATGTGATGTTTGTTTTTCCATTCTTAGGAAAGTGTTCTCCAAATCTATCCTAGTTGTAACAAAAGATACAAAATCTCCATCCTTTTTTTATAGTCCAATATATTGTGTGGTATCCACATACCATAGTTGATTAATACATTCATGTGTTGAAGGGGTCTTGGGTTGTTTCCACATTTTTGCCATTGTAAATTGGGTTGCTATAAACATTCAAGTGTGTATGTCCTTATGGTAAAATGGTCCTTTTTCTTTTGGGTAGATACAGGATTGTGGGATCCAATGGAAGGTCTATTTTTAGTTCTTTGAGAACTCTCCATACTTCTTTCCATAAGGCTGTCCTAGTTTGCAGTCCCACCAACAGTGCAGTAGTGGTCCTTTCTCTCCACACTGTGCACCTTGTGATGTGGGCCATTCTCACTGGGGTTGAGTGATATCTCAAAGTGGTTTTGGCTTGCATTTCTCTAATAATTAGAGACAATGAGCATTTTTTCATTAGTTTGTTGGCCATTCATCTGTCTTCATGAGAAAAGATTCTGTTCATGTTTCTTGCTCAGTTTTTAATGGGGTTGTTTGCTTTTTTTGTTGTTAATTTGCTTGAGTTCTTTATAGATTCTGGTTATTAGCCCTTTGTTGGATTTGCAGGATGTAAATATCTTCTCCCATTCTGAAGGATCCTTAGCTGTATAGAAACTTTTTAATCTGATCAGGTTCTATTTATTTATTTCTGTTGTTAGAGACAAGTATTTTATATCTCACCGTACCCTACCACACACACACACACATACGTACATACACAACTGTTTTAGGGAAGCTATTCGCTTTTTCCCCCACAGAATTGTGAAACTTTAGTCTTGTTCTTATTACTGTCTGTCTTATCAACCAATTGGTCTTTCCCCAAGATATTCCACTACTATGTCACCCTCTTTGTTCCACCAGTACTATGTATACCTTGGAGCTCATTAAAGACGTGAACCATGTGTTATTATATCCCTTATTTCTGGTAATTTCTCAATAAAGGGTGGCTAGATAAATGTGAATTACCACACTATCTCTGTAGAAAATCAGAAAATGGGCTCAGTGCCTGTAACTTAAGCAGCTAAGGTTCCAACCACATACAGCAGAACTGGCAGGTTCAAATCTAGCCCAGACCTGCTGAACAACAATGACAACTACAACCAAAAAATAGGTGGGTATTGTGACAGGTGCCTGTAGTGCCAGCTACTTGGGAGGCTGAGGTAAGAGAATCGCTTAAGTCCCAGAATTGGAGGTTGCTGTGAGCTGTGATGCCACGGCACTCTACCCAGAGTGACAGCTTGAGACTCAGTCTCAAAAAAAAAAAAAAAATCAGAAAATGACATTCATTCTATATGGTCTAACCCTATCTTGCAGTATGTTATATTAACTACATTTGTATTTTCATGAAAAGCTAACACTAGTCATGATTTTCTTATAGCAAACTTACTAGAAATTAAGATGCAAGGAAACAAATTTTGTGCATGTATGTTTCAGATATGATCACTCTGTTTCAAATGACAAAGCCCTGATGGTGCTAAGTGAAGAACCACTGCTTTACATTCCTCCACCTCCTTGTCGACCCCTAATTAACACAACAGAATCTCTCAGGTGAGTGTTACACATTATTCTAGAAATATCAGAGTTGCTTCCGACGTTCAGCTTCGGAACCTAAAAAAGTAGTTGTTCAGATTAACAAGGTGGCTGAGAGAATCTCTGAATTATCTGTTGGGTAGACTTATCAATTGTTTTCCAGTTGCTCTACCAAACTCATACAGATGATGATGGGTTGCTTTTATGCGATGGTTGCAGACTTAGATATGTCTTATTTGAAAACTACGGAATGAAATTAATATAAAAATTCAGGGTGTTAGGGTTTGCATATGGCAATATTCATATCAGAAGGGATCTTTTTCTTCAAATTGAGGAAAATAATTTGTACCCTTCTTTATCAACTTTCCCTTGCATTTTTCCCTGTGATTTAAGGGCCTTCTCCTTGGACCTTAAAAACCGCCTCAGGTTTTGATAAGTAGTAATCAACTATAGTTAAATAAGCATACTCTAATGTCTTCACAATTGCTGTGAAAGGTAACCAAAATAAAGTTATATTTGGGCTAGCTTTTTATTTCCGGTGTTGAAAAATTTGAATTATCCTTTTTTCTACCAGCAGTTGGGTTCATTCTTTTCCTTCTCCCCAAAGAGCATGATTTTCAAAGCCTTTATTCAATGCATCTATTTATTGTTAAGGATGTTAAATTCTCTTCATCGTCGCAGATGTTTGTATGTACATAGCTCAAGAACAGAAACATAAAATACATTTTTTGTGGAAAAACTTTTGCATCCAATTATTTTTATTTGGCAGATGTTTTGCTGTGATTTTCTTTGAATTTGGAACTCATCATTGAGAAGGTCTTATTAAAAACAGCTTAACATTAAGCATATCTCAGCTTTTTCAAGATAATCAAAAGATAATATTGAGTTGCCAGGCAGGCACTTGGAACACTCTTGGAACATACAGAATGATTAATTTCATTTCCAAACAACTGGTGAGACATTCATATCTATGAAATATGTTATTCATTAATACAGTTATATTTTATAGGTTAAATCATGAACTTCGAGGGTGGGTTCATAGACATGAAGTGGAAAGGACCAAGTCAAGAAGAATGACAAATAATCAACAGAAAACCCGTATTCTTCAGGTTTGTTTGTGCTTGTCTTTGAACACTGGTTGGCATATTTGTTGCTCTCTTCCCTGGAAAATTTGGGAAGCTTCAGCCCTTTCCTCCTGTTTCCTTCTGCTTCTGATATAGCGGAACTGAAGCAGGATAGGCGGTTAGAATTTGAATTGAGAAATGAGTTACTATTTTAGATTCAGTGGTTAGAGAAGCTTCTCTGAAGAAGTTCCACTTTAAGAAGATATTGTCAGAGTAATTAATGGTAGCTGTTATAACAGCCTAAAAATCTCTGTAGCTTAATAGAATGAAAATTTGTTTTTCACACAGATAAAATTTCACATAGTTCACTAGGATGGCTTTTTTCTAAGCAATGAGTAAGGGATCCAGTTTTGTATAGCCCCAGTAACTTGAAATCCTTTGTATAGCCCCAGTAACTTGAAATTCTTTGCTTCTAGGTTTGGGTGTTAGGGAAGATTTTGCATAGATTTTCCAGATAGGCTCTATTTTGCATATAGTATGCAAAATGTTTTAGGGATAAAGCCCAGATGTTAGCCAATGTTTAATTAGCTGAAACTATTACTTTGTCTAACCTGCTGCAAGGAAGACTGGGAACATGGAATCTTCTTGGGCACAGGAAAAAGAAACAGATTTAGTGAGAACATTATTTTAGGCAGAAAATGACCAAAAGTAACAATGTGAACATTTTGGGAGAAATCTGGAGAAAGAGCTTCAAGACACAAGGAGCAGCAAATGTAAAGACCCCGTGGAGGGAACCGTTTGCGTATTTGTGAACCATGAAGAAGCTTAGTATGGCTGGAATGCAGAGACTTGGGGGAGAGTGGTAGCTGGAAACAAAATGGTTACAGAGATAATATAGTGAACTTCATTGGCTATGCTGAAAACTTTGGCTTTGTTTCTAATTATGATGCAATACCATTCAAAGGTTTGAGCAGGGGAGTCACTTGATCTGAGATATATATATGTGTATATATATA